GTAGTTTTATACAGGTACGGACGAAAAGTTATTCCCCTTCTTCCAGTTAAAAATATATAGGTGGCGCCCTCTACTAGTAGGAGTCATATTGACATCAAAATCAAATTTCTCATGTCAAAAAACTCCCAGACACCAATTTTGATCCAAATATTGACGTTACTCCGAAAATTATTTGGAAAAAATCGAAATAAAAATGAAATTTCTACACCCTGTATCTCCGAAACTAAGCATTTTAGGACATACATTTATACGAACTTTTTTAAGTATTTTTATCTGCAGAATATGCTGCCGAAGTTTCCGGAATACAGTTCGGACCACCCTGTATATGTCCTTTAAAGTATTTTTTGTTTAACTGAAAGTATATTTTGCTTATAATGTTTCATAAATTGGCAATCTGTAAGTAGTAAACCCATAAATTACACACTTTTTTACATAATTTGTTTGTTCATTGGTTTCAATTTGCGTCATTCAAAAAATCAAGAATAAATATGTGTAATTTATTCTTCTCCTTCGAAATGTAACAAAAATATTTATAGTCAGTATTAAAATACATATAGTCTGCCCCACGACAAAATACTTTGACAGTGATGGATGTGTCTCTCATTATCATCTAAGTAGTTAATTATATTCCACACATAAATAAATTGGTTTGAATTGGAATGCATAGCAGGAAATTAATAAAAATTTGAGTTACAAGTGATTACTTCAAAATATTGTAAAAAAAACTGTATAAAATATAATCGAGTTATTTTATTAAAAAAAAGTTACGGTATGTGTTAATAAAAAAGTCTGTACGGTGTATTTTAAACAAAACATAGGCAAGCTTCAAGAAACTTTCAGCATTTATAATTTATATTTATTATTAATTTATACGTATGTACAAATAAAAAAAATAATATTGCACAGAAATAAATAAAACTTACTGTTTTGTTAATAATAACACTGAATTGTATACCGTAAAAGTTGATTAACTATTTTTTTACCAGTACCTTTTGTACCTTTGTGTAGTACTAAACTCTATTACTTACTTATCGTGTGATGTCGTTATTTTACAGCTATGCCTGTTTTTAGTACCAAATACGAGATAGTGTACAACTTTACTGATGGGAACTTTATGAATATTAGCTAAGAACTGTGGTCTGGGTCTACAGTTTATTTTCCCTCTATATTTCCTCCGCTTAACTTCAAAAGATACAAAACACACGTGATAACTCGAACCAAAATGCAAAAACAATTCTCAAATGTTTATAATTTTCTAAGACGCATGCTTTGACATAATTTGACACAAATTCATAACCAATAATTTGGCAATACTTTGGCAAGACTTTGGCAAGCCTCAAAAATCTTTAGACGAGTACATACGCTTCAGTGATATGTATCGTTAATCGTTGCGTTATTCCAATAATATTAAAATATGATCTGTATTTTTTTTAAATAAACCAATAAAACTGGTTAAAAACAACAAGAGATGACGTACGACGGACTTATATATAAACCCAACCATAGTTAACTTAAAAAATATTAGATTTTTTTTAGCGAAATAAATAAACTGGTATGGACATCGTCTGCTTTTTTTCTGTCATCTTCTGTTGAAATATTGTAGTCCAAGAACTAGCAACGTTTTCGAGAAACTATTTTAAGACGTCTAGCTCTTTGATATATCTTTTACTCTGCTCTTTGGAACAGCATGCGGCCCGTCTGGCTGCCAATACCCGTTGCGTTCACTACTGCGCATCGGAAGGGGATCCTATATTTTTTTATTTTAGTTCTATAAATTCTAGTATTCAATATAAATCGAACATGTCTCCAATGCGCAGTGCGTAGAGTTTCCGACTACGAACCGATGATTCAGAGTTCGAATCCGGGTCAGGGCAAATACTTTTGTATTTTATTTTTGTTTCTATTCTGATAGTAAAGTATTAAATAATTCTGGTGATTAAAAAAAACAAATATTTAATTCCTGACCCGGATTCGAACTCTGAATCCTCGGTTCGTGGCCGGAAACTCTACGCACTGCGCTATGGAGACATGTTCGATTTATATTCAATACTAGAATTTGAAGGACTAATAAAAATACAGGAGCTTCTTTCAATGCGCAGTAGGGAACGCAACGTTTACCGGCAGCCAAACGGGCCGCATGCTGTTCTAGAGAGCATAGTAAAAGATATATCAACGAGCCAGACGAGTTTGCGAAAAAAAAACAAAAAAAAACAAACTTGACAAATCAATTTTATTTTAAGGTTTAGCAAATATGGTAAGGCTCAAGACAAGTGTGTGTAGAATCTAACCCAAAATGCTATTTCATATAAAAAATACCTATTTATATTCTTTAAGTATTTCCACTGATATTAATAAAATATTTAAAATGTCAAATTAAATTCTAGTTTTCAAGTTAATTAATTTCGTTGATTTTAAAATAGCGCTTTATTTCGTATTAGTCAAATATATATATATATATTGCTTAAAATCCACTATCAATATGTCTAACCCTCGGACAATACGTTACTTCTGATGTTTTAAAAAAGCACGAACCGGATATTAATTATTGAGCACAGTTGCAACAAAGTCCGAATAATTTATCACTCAAATATGAGTGCAATACAGTTAACTGCCGAAAAACATTATAATATAATACGCATTGTCATCATATGCATGCGCTTTTTAATAAAATATGTTTACGATATTGAAAATTTAACAGCTGCATGTCGAAACCTCATTGCGTAAAATGCTGTATCACGTGGGAATATATAAAAACATTTATAACGTAAATTAATTATAGTTGTAGATGAATTACCAATTAAGTTAATAAGTTGTTATAATAATGTGAAAATAAGTTACTCAATTTTATGTCTATGATAAAAACTTATTAAATCTGGTTTAAGTAGTTTAATGCGGATTAAGTTATCTCTTGAAATTTTGTCGACTTTGGTCTCCTTCTGACATAAACGCAATTTTATTAATTTAGTCTAATAGCAATCTCTACAAAAATGTAATATCATTAACTTGCGAAAGTTTTAAATAAGTACTCATTGATTCCTCATCAAAAAATATGTAAAAAAATTCCTATAAACGTAGGTTGGAAATGCATAGTTTTAGAGCTACAGGATGTTAAAACTATTTAAAATTAGGTTTTCTGTAATTATCTTAAATACCATTATTTTGTTATTTCAAATTGCTCTAGATTGGACTAATAGGAATAGTAACTAATAGTAATAAGATTTAATAATAAATTAGGCAAAATATATAATTTATTAATTTTATTTTTATTTCAATTTTATTAATTGTGATTAAAAAAACTGCGTTTATCTCATCAAGGAGGCTGAATTCAACAAAATATAAAGAGACTGAAGTTTTTAATTGGCATTAAACGACCTACACAATTTTATATATAAAAAAAGTCAGTGCGCACATGTTTTTTTTAACGATAAACTTACAATAAATCGATCGCCTCAATTCGAAGTTCTCCAACAAAAGTATTTGGACAACTAGCATATGAACCTGTCTCGAGGAAGCGACTGTACTCTACTTCGTGCATATCGAAATCTGTTAGACGGAGACATAATTTTGATCTCTATCATCTTCAATTAAAGCAACTATAGCGGATGCAACTTCTGTACTTAAAACCATCTCTGCAAGAGTAACTAACCCAACAGCCAAGTAACAATAATAATATAATTTTTCAATAAAAGTTACATTACATAAATAATGAACATTATTTCATAGGTCTGTTGACTGCGACCAAAACCAAAGGCATGGTTTTAATGTAAAAATTACGAAAAAATGTTAGTGCTCCTTCAAAATTGAATATCTCCAAAAAAATAAAGCTATGAGATGAAAAATCTACCAGAAAATAAACTATCCAGAAAAGATGCATTTAGATGATAAAGGATTTTCAAATTCCTTGTTTTGTTATCATATTCCGCAGGGTTCGAAACTTCCACTAAAATACCAAAATTTTGTGTTCTCTCGTATAATTGAGAAAGGGGAACTCTCATTTTTATTATAGAAAGAGATACTAAAAAGTCACATAATGCAGCTACAAATTGCTTAACAGGTCATCAAAATTGGTGAACTAGGACACAATATATAAACGTTTAAAGTACATAAAAATTATAAGGTGCCCGTTTTTGCGGTGAGTGTACTAAACAAAAGAGAATTTATAGCATATTTTCTGGCCAAAAATTATACAGCATTTATCAATAAAAAATTTCTTTAAAACGAAAAAGAAATAGATGGGCTAAAGAATTAGCTGTCCAGAAAGAATTATTATATGAATTTGACAAAATATATTCAAATATCATAGAGAAACAATCTACCTGTCGGTTCAAATTGCAGAAAACGTTGACAGCTGCACAACGATGACAGTTGCAGTTGGTTTCTAGAAATTGAATAAGTCTAGCCTTTAAATCACCCTGTATGTATATGTCGCACCCACTTAGTGTAATTGTCCATTTCGTGAAATGGATATCCACTTCGCGAGCTGAAACCTAACCAGTTCGTGAACCTAATCTAACGTAACCGAACCAGTTCGCGAAGTGGATATCCATTTTATGAAACGGACAATTACATTAAATGGGTGCGACATATATAACATATTATATGATTGAACCTTTTAGTTATAAGAAAAGCTTAAGTTAAATAAAAATCTTGAATACTATATACTACTTCAAACTATTGAAGTTATTAATCATATGGTCTTTAATATCATGGATTTTAAAGGGAGTTTTATAGATATATTTAATATATATTAATCCGGAATGGTTTCTTATAACAACTAGTCCGATTGAAAAAGCCTACCGTTCAAATAAATTCTCTATTTGTCCAGACAAGAAATCAACAAGTCTCTAAAAGTTACCTGCTGGTTTTTACGTTTGGTATGAAAATATTTGATATTTTTTTATAAAAAATAAAAAATCGTGATTCGTTTACATAATACATAGAAAATAAACAATTTCCTTTTCGTTTATAAAGTTTGGTAATGTAGACTTTTTGTTTTTTAGAGGAATGGTCCACGGTTCACCTTTTGGAAGAGCCGGAGTTTGCCGCCCCCATCAATAATTTAACAGTTCCTGTGGGAAGAGAAGCTATTTTGTCGTGCACCGTCAATAATCTGGGGAAATACAAGGTAAAGTGTTTTGTGTTTTTGCTTTGGACTTATATTTCTGTATGGCCTATCTGGTTCACCGCTGATCTCAAGAGGAATAAAAAATCACAATTCTCTCTCTATTTTATGGAGCCTCATTTGAAACCATAAAGTTTTATTTAAAATTGCTTTTATGCTTTTATTCTTTGGCTTTCTCTTTTACGAATAATAAAATGTTACCGTCTTTATATGTATGCTCTTCCACGTCTTCTGAGATATTAAATTTATTTTTAAGATTTAATCATTAAAAAATATACATCCCTCAAAAATGTTCTTTTTATGTACATATATAATACAAATTTAATGTATTTGTAAAAAAGAAGTCTTATTAATATACATACTGTATCAGGCATAGTAATGAAATATAATTGTCGATATCGATAATATAAAACCCTAATGTTTGTTCTAATAAAAGCTAATGTTTCCAAGCCAACTGGACGCCATTTTTTTTTCAATCATACGGTATTATAAACTATTTATTATATGATTATTAAATCGGAATTAAAATATACTAAAAATATTAAATTGATATTAAGAAGTCTTGAATAAATGTATATATGAATTAGATTGCTAATTTAATATTATTGGTAAAATAATCAATCCAACTACGCCAGTGCCATAATAGTCTAAGAGCTAGCAACGTTTTAGAGAAAGTATTTTAAGACGTCTGGCTCTTTGATATATCTTTTACTATGCTCTCTGGAACAGCATGCGGCCCGTCTAGCTGCCGATACCCGTTGCGTTCTCTACTGCGCATCGGAAAAAGATCCTATATTTTTTATTAATTTAGTCCTATAAATTCTAGTATTCAGGGCAAAGACTTTTTTATTTTATTTTCGTTTATATTCTGATAGTAAAGTATTAACTAATTCTGGTGATTAAAAAAAACAAATATTTAATACTTTACTATCAGAATATAAACGAAAATAAAATAAAAAAAGGTTTTTCCCCACCCGGGATTCGAACTCTGAATCATCGGCTCGTGGTCGGAAACTCTACGCACTGCGCTATGGAGACATGCTCGATTTATATTCAATACTAGAATTTAATGGACTAATAAAAATATAGGATATTCTTTCAATGCGCAGTAGGAAACGCAACGTTTACCGGCAGCCAGACGGGCTGCATGCTGTTCTAGAGAGCATAGTAAAAGATATATCAAAGAGCCAGACGTCTTTAAATACTTGTTTTTCCGACGTTGTTAGCCCTCGTACTATAAAGTGTTCAAAAACAAATTAAAGAACTTTTTTCTTGTTCAAAAATAAATTAAAGAAATTTCCTTTTCTGACCTCTTAAGTAATTGTCTGACCAAATTATCGTCAATAGTGCCAGTTACGATTCTTATTTTTATGAAAGGTGCATGTGGTTCGTTTAAATGAACGAATCGTAGGAGTCGTCGATTCGATTCACTAAAAAGAATCGTAATGCCCATCACTAGTTTTATTGAAATAAATCACATTAATAAATTATATTTTCCTAAGGAACGTCTGTATTTTCGGTGAGAAATAAGGAAAAATACGAAACAAATATGTGGAATATGAATTTCTTTTTATGACAATCCCGTCACATTTTGTTTCTATTCCGTGCTCTTTCGCTTCAGGGAAAAGGCCTAGCTTTTACTCCAGAGGATAAAAAATCTATCCGCTGTAAAGATGTGTATTGAGATTGGTCGTTACCCTCCATATATCGAAAATGAAAGCCCAGCCTACGATTTATTTTATATTTCCGTAGATTGCTGGCTCAAAAAGATAAAATGGTAGGTTTATATGCTATAAAGCCAACGTCAAGATAAAACATTGAATTGAATATTTCAAAGGTTAAAGGCTGTCACCATACAAAGATGGGTTTGATTTATTTTCAATTATTTGGATATATCGGCGACATTGAATGAATATTCCTCTTAATATATTAAATACAATATATTTCTTACAAAATACATTGTAAAAACTAAACGAATCATATAAATTTATTACTTTGAACTTTTCCACAAGCGTTTGTGTACTTAATATTTTGTAAAACATTTTACGACTTCCTTTACGAATTAACTTTGTATGACGCGTTGGAAGGTGTTTAGTTCCTTACCAGCCTGATGATGGGAATACATAGATAGTATCTAACACTAGCTGAGAAACGTAAATTTATATAGGTGTTAGTAATTAACAAGTGCAAATTATTTTTAGCCTAACCTAACCAATGGGTATGGTAGGCTATTAAGATCGGCAAAAAAAAAGTTTTTTTAATTTCACTCAAAATGAGTAATTTGGGTCATAGATGGCCTAAATACAAAATATTTTCATGGTGTCTGTCTGTCTGTCCGTCTGTCCGTCTGTAACACGATAACTCAAAAACCGCTAAACCGATTTTAACCAAATTTGGCACAAAAATACTGTGGCACCCGAGAATCTGGCCATTAGTTTTTGGTGGGGGTGGAGGGTTGGTAAAGGGGTATGGGAGGGGGTTAAAAATTAAAAAAAAATCCAAAATTACAGTAGCTAGCGAAACGCGGTTTTCAATTTAAGATTAGGAATAATATTTGCAAAAAAATTTCTAATAACGTCAAAATCAGTCAAATTCGCAGTTTTTGAGATAAAAAAAATTGGAAAAATTCCTTAACGTTGAAACTAAAAGAACTGCCTACCAACTTTTTATTAACATATTTTAGTATGGGCGGCTATACGTGCCTCCCGGCGCCAATTTATTTTTAACATTGAAAATGTTTCTGTTATCCTATATAAGGGAGCCTAAATCGAATTAAAATGCTACATTTGCCACACCATGACGTCATATATACAAGGGTATAGGAAATCTCGGCGCAGCGGCGGCAGTCGGCCAGCGCGCGCAAAAACCATTACATCGCTAATTGTTTATTGATATATCTTTATTAGTTTAAAAGCAAAAAATATGGGCTTTGCTTTGATACCTTGTCAAGACATAAGCATAACTTTTAAATTGTTTATTTTTTTCATTTAGGCCTTCGTTTTTCGTTAAATGAAAGTTATATTAAAAAAAATCTATTTTTAAACCAAATTTTCGCATGATTGAAAATATTATTTATGTTTAAAGTTTTTTTTGGTCATAAGCGCTAATGGAAATGTTTTTTTTAAATAATTATAAAAAATTACTCCCTACGAAGACTTTATTGTGTACTGGATCAAAAAATAAGTATTTGTTTCTCTATACGGTGGTATTAATATATCGATTTTTGATGATAGTGCCTTTTTACCCTGTTTAATTTTGTACTACTTTCGGAATAAGGGTCCCCATATCATGTACTGTGATGTACTGTACTTCCATCCCTGAAAAATTCAGCTTGTGACACCGAAGTGAGAGGTAACGTCAAAATAAGCTTTAATCTACCTACATCATCATAGGTAGGTGTAGGTACTCTAGGTAAATTCTACCTAGACAGTAGCTGAACTAGCTGACAGTAGTAATTAATTTGTTATCCGATAAGTAGTTGTCATTATATAAGTTTAATCGTCTTATACCTCCTATAACGGTAGGTTTTGGATTTTTCCTGATTGGTTTGTTAAACAAAAATATACTGGGCATATAAATGTCTGTTACAGGTTAATTCGTTAAAGAAATATGTTACACACATATTATTTTAATAATAATAGTATAATAGTAATGGCTATATTATGTTATAACACATTATTGAATTAACAATTGAAAACAGTATTGAATGTACTTATTTTAACCAATGCATTGTTTTGTTTTTTTAATCTCACAAATAAGAAATATTTTATAGTTTTTATTATAAAAAACAGTGATTATACAATTTATTTACACCCCTTACACTGTTTTCTGTAAGGGGTGTAACCAGGAGTATATTTCGTAACCTTTTACGATATAAGAGGGCACAAAGTGTTTTATTACTTAATGCTTAAAATTTAATAATATATTTGTACATAAAATAAAATAGACTAGAAAGTCAATTAATTAATATTGACGTAATTACTAAATAAGTACAAGATTTTTTTTCTAATTATTTTAGTGTATTTTTAGTCACCGAATTATAAAGGAGAGATATCCAACCATTGCATTATTTTACTCACAAATAAATGTTTTATGGTTTTTATTATAAAACAACGATTAATTTATTATACACCCCTTAACCCAAACACTCCAAGGAGGATATTTCGTGACCCCGTATTTAAAGTGGACAAGGTTTATTAGTCAATGTTTTAATTACCCAGCGTCTTTAATAAAAATCTAATGTAATTTTTCATAGAAATGATCTGACATGAAAAGCAAATTTTATCAAAAAACTTTTTGATTATCTACAAGGAGTAAACCGCTGACAAATGTCTGTATACTAATGCCAAAGTAATGCCAAAAATACAAATTAAATACCAAAATTTCTCATATAATGCCCCACTAATGCCAAGCTGATTCCAATATAATACCACTAATACCACGAATAATATGTAACACATTTGTTTCACGAATTAACCTGTAACAATACTGGTAGGTACGTGCACAGATTTTTTCCTAGGTAACTTAAAAGTCGTTAAAAAGTCTAATTATATTTAAAGAAGATATAATTCCAACAAATTACATTATAAGGCCAATAATGCACAAGTAATACCATTAAAATTTTAGCGTTTTTAACTTGTGTAACATATTTCTTTAACGAATTAACCTGTAACAATAGTGGTAGGTACGCGCACAGATTTTTTCGCTAGGTAACTTATTAAGTCGTTAAACAGGCCTATAAAAGCTATAACAACATAGGTAACTAATATTTATAATTTAATTCGAGTTTTAATCTCAAATAATAAATGTTTTTACTGGTGTATTTCTGAAGTGTTCATTATTAAAAGTAGATATTCTTCAAGTTATGCGAAGTAATAAGTAATGTTTCCGGTGAGACCGCGTATATGTCACCGGATTCTGGTTAGTATAAAGACTTTTTCTATAGAAAGAGTTTTTTCTATATTTTCCTTTCAAAATAAGACTAATTTCTTCTTATTCTTTTA